ATTTAAATAGGAGTATTTTAGTCCAACACACATGACTTAACAGTCAACTAATGATTAGGTGAATAAAAATAAAATTTTAAAAATAAAAAGAGAGCTTGTATTTTATAACTATTCATATTAAAAAAATGTTCATATAGGTTTAAAAAATAAAAGAGATGTATCATTAATTAAGATAAAAATAGAAAAAATAATTTCTCATTTTGAAGTATGAGTTTTGTATCAATAATTTTTTTTTTATAGATCCCACATATACCTCTTTTTTATAGGGACCACGTTATTCTTTTCTTTTCTTTTTCATCTACTATATTATATTAAAAAAGTTAACAAATAAAAATAAAAGAAAAAGAAAAAAAATCATCTGAACAATTGTACAATACCCATAAAAAAAAGTTACCCGTCCGTAACAAATTAAAAAAAAAAAGATTTACAGTATCATCTGACAGTAACACATTTTCAAAAACAGAAAAAGTGGATATACAGTACCATCCGTCCGATAAAAATCAAGGAAAAAATAGGCATTTGGCTAAACACTGATCATTTGGTTATAGAAATTTTAAAAAATATTTAGAAGTAAGTAAATTAGTAGAAAATAATTATTAAATCTAATTTAGGATATAATTTTAAATTAAAATTTTTTTAAAAAAATATCTAATTAATTAAAAAAATATTATTAAAATATTATTATTATTAAAAAAAAGAGAAAATGTATGAATAAAAAAAAGGGAAGAAGAAGTGAACTTTCAGCGCTCTCTCGATGAAATGATTATGTATATATAATAATAATAAAAAAAGAAAAAAGAGAGAGAAAGAAGAAAATAATAAAAAAATTGTGGAACCCACATTCGTTTTAAAAACACCGTTCTCTTCTCATTTTTACTTCATTTCCTTTCTCTTTCGTGTGCGAACAGAGAGAGCATCTGTGAGCGCAAGTTCACCGGTACTGGGTTTTAAGGTAAGAGTTTTTAATAGGATATTTAGGGTGTGATTTCAAACTTTTCAAAACTAAGTATGTGTTCTAAATTTTTCTTAGTTATCCTTCCTCTTTGGTTTCTAAGTTTGTGGTGGTAGAAAATTTAGGATTTGGAAGAGAGATGAATTTATGTTGAATAAATATGGTTTTTGAGATTGTTAGTAGTATAATAAATATTCTAGAGTATAAATTTATTGATGATCTTTAAATTTGTGGCTTAAGGATCAAATCCTAGACTATATTTTTATTAAATTTGAAAATATATGTTAAATTATTGAGGTTTAGATGATTATTTGGGATGAGAAATGAATTATTATGGCTATAGGATTATGATTCTAAGCTTGAGACTCAATTTTTAATTTTTGGGTATTTTAGATGCAAATTTATGAAATAAAAAGAAAATTTTGATAATAGAAATTAGTTTAGAAGTTGATTTTTTAGATTATGAATGTTTATTGATGAGTAAAAGAGGAGTTAAAAATTTTACTTCATAGTATTAACTCTAGATTTGTATTAAGATTGAGATTATGAATTATGTTATATTTTTAATTCTATTATTAGAATTATTTTATTAGTTTCAATAATTGAAACTAATATTTATAAATAATATGTTACTTGTAGATTGTGTTGTTGGTGAAGATTGTGGTAGGAGAGAAATTTGTAAGGAATAATTTATAGAAAAAGCCACGAGGTAACCATGCTTGTAATTTGTGATTAGTGTTACTTCATGTTAATTGGGTGATTATTGAGAAAATTATGAATTTTATAATATTGTATAATTGTGCAATATTATTATAAATTTGTTTGATTATTATGGGAGGTGTTGGGAGACTTGCTATTGTTGTTGTATTTATGTGCCATGTGGTACGCCCCTATTGGAGCTCAATAGGTGGCTTGTAAGGGCTCGGGCTAATCTACCTTTGGCCGGGTAATTTAGCACCGAGTAAGGGTTACGGCTCGAGGTTAATTGAGGGATATAAGGATGGTTGTTTGTGTGTATTGTAATATTTTTTATATTTGTTAGAATTATATTATTTTTAATTCTCACTTAATAAGCACACACTTAACTGTTTGTATATACTATCATAAATTGGCTATGATTACTGAGACTTTTGAGTCTCATTATGTGGTTAATAATTTTTAGGAGAAGAGCCACAAGTGACACGTGGAGGAGTCCCAGAGAATTAGTGGCATAGATCAACTATCTCTTTTAGGTATTTGATTTATGATTTATAATGTTTTATATTGTCAATATTAAGCTTTCTGTTTATTGATAATTATATGAATATATAAATGTAATCATACCTTTCAAACTATTTCTATTTTTAGTACACTTTGGATGACTGTAATTTTAATATTTGGTTTACTTTGGATTGGTTAAAATGGCATGATTATGAGGCCAAATAACTGGCTTGTTTTGAAAATTGACTAAATTAGTTATTTTACTTGTTGGGAGTATAAGGATGGACAAATGTAATTTAGCCTAATGGCATGTGAGAGGTAAAAATTAAGCTGAAATGTTGTATTGTACGAGTTAAAGCTAATTATAAAATATTTTTATATTAAAATTATTGATATAAATGTGTTGAGTGGCTGTAACTCAATTATGGTTGAGTTAAATTATTTAAAAAAAATTTGGTGTGTTACACTAGTCAGATTAATGCTTTTCAATTCCTTGGAGTTATTCACAAATTAAGATTCCTTGGAGATTTCAATATCATTGATAAGAGAAGCAAACAAGAGTCCTTTAGTCAAACAATTTTTTATCACAGGGCAACTTTTGCCCCACAAATTTTTCTGAAAAACAATTTGTATTCCAAACTTTTGATTGGTAGACTATTTTTAGGTTATCAATGTTTAAATTAGAAGAAGGATTTGACAAACTGTTGTCAATGTTAAAATATAATTCGTATTTAATAATTTTGACATATGCTTTACTTGAAGTTGACTAAGCCTAAAAACTATATTTTGCTCAAGCACTTTACAAACTTGTCCTTAAGCAAAGTTAAGACTTTCTCTTATTTTACCTATGAGCAAGTCTGGACATGTACCCTAGAATAGATCTAGGCTTATGCAAGCTTAATCATGAGCAAATATAGACTTGCTCTATTAAAGCGTGGCTTGGATTGAAAATTTGTGGATCATGTATGGCAATAATGTCATACTACTACTTACCATACTTTTTTGCACCCCTTTTGAAACTTTCAAAGTAATACTACAACAATTGAAAATTAAGAGTACTAGTTGCACTTGCCAAAAAACTTTTGGAGCACATTTGCTCTTGAGCCCTAAACCATATGTTGAGTTGAAGAAGATGGTGATCAGGAATTGGTGATAAAACCCTTTATATAAATGGTCTTTAGAATAATTGAAGGATAACAGAAAGAAAAAGGAAGAAATTAGTTGATCAAACAAGATCACTACCCTCCAAACTTTGTATGAGCTATCTAGCTAGTGAGAAACTTGTTTGAGCATTAGTTAATATTGTTGTATTTTGACCATGTAATTAAGATAAGTGTTTAAAATTCCATGGCTTGTGAAAATTTTAATTTAGGTTATCTAAGTGAAAGTTTTGGATCAATTGAAATTTAATTAAGTTGGTAAGAAGAAAAGAAAACTTTAAGTTTTCTCAAGTGGATTGGGCAAAGGAAATTAATCAAATCTAACATGCAACAACCCTAGAGACTCATTCCCCCCTGGATGGATAGAGACTCAAGTTTTAATCATCAGCACTTGCCGGAAACAATAAATTAAAATTTAAATATTCAAGAATTTCATAAATGGCAATATACTTGACTACTTTCTACCATCTCTTTTTTATTAGAAAAGACTTTACATAATGCAAAGAACATTGAAGCTCTGTTACATCTAAGTATTGATTAAGTTAAATTAAATTTATGTAATACTTAAATTTTTTCAACCTCAAAACATGGTATTACTATGGTTGAACAGAAGGAAACCAATTTAAATTACTTTACTATATAGCAGAAAAGTTTAAATCCATTAATTATGATAATCATGATAAGAAAGGACAAAACTTACAATTAAAGGTCTATCAAAGTTAAATAACTTCACATGTATATTATCAAAGATCAACCATTGTAAAAAGAAGAAGATGATGATGAAACCAATATTTAATACCTACTGTGGTTGAAAAGAAAAATACTTAAACATTAAAATCCATCTGAAGTCCCCTACCGTGCTAGCTGGAATTGAGCATACAAAAATCCTTTCAAAACTCTCGAGTCCTACCAAAAACTAGTACAAATTATGAACAACATAGCGTAGCCAAAAACATGTGGGCCAGGAGATTATGAAGTCTAAAACTCATAACAATAATGAAAAGCCCGCAACTTTCAATAAGATTTCCTTTCATTCATTCACACATCAATCCAACTCCAAATCAAAAAGTTGAAGTATGACAATGTGCAACAATCCAAAACATGTAAAAATATGATTCTTTTCAAAAATGCCCTTCAATTAGGGGTGTAATTAATAAAGTTTTTTTAACTAAGATAATATATTTAAAAAGGAAAAACATGGAAAGAATATGTGTTTTTAAATGACATTATTGATTTATGTGGAGTGTACATAAATTAGTTAAAATACCTTGTAATTCTAAAGGAAGGAAGTATATTTGTATTGGCATTAATATCAACATATCCAATAAAGAGAACCGTACCCCTTCATGCCCACTCCCCTGGAAAAAAAATTGTTATTTTCTTTCAAAATTTCTTCAAATAATTGTTTGGAAAATTAAAATTACAGTCAAAACATTCCATTGATATCCCCAAGGTGACTCTACTAACTAAAAACTCATTCCACACCTGACTTCGTGGACTTCTAGAGATCAAAACAAACATATTTTTGAACGACATTGATCCTAAACACAATTTCCATGCACACACACCAATATTGTTGCTAGCGTAATCATAGCAGGCAATATGATTAGGTTCAAAAACTATGTTCTTTAATTTGGCAGCATTAAAAAAAACAATATTGATTGTTTATAAGTCGCCAGGTGAAATTATCAATCACTTTATTCTCTCCCAATGGGATTGGACATACACCAACACTATGAATAATATACTCAGAATAGTTCAATTCCCTCTTAGCCATATATCACTAAAACTTGCAACTTATTCATCATATGACCATGAAAATCTTTAGAACTTTTTTCAAGATCAAGCCCATGCATCCTCACGTAACTTGAACAGATCTCGTCTCAAGTTCTTCACTAGATCATCCACTGTCATGCCATATTCGTCACGCATCTACATATAATTCAATTTGAGCTTCAAGATGTTGAAAGTATTAGGTAGCTAGCTTCACGAGTACAAAACTTAAAGAAAGAATATCATGTCCAACACAAGTAAGACATATAAAGTGGTATACGTACCTGTGCAATAATAGTGACATTAAGAGTAGAGTTTTTAGATGGCAATATGCTGCTACTGGTTACAGTGAGATGAGTTTTTTCAAGTAGAGACACAATGTTGAGCACAATATCATTTTGTTTGTTACAAAGAATTTTTATTAGTACTTGTCTCTCCAAAGCTCTGGCTTTCACGTCTGGCAACACATTATTCTTATTGTGTCCACAAGTATGTAGTTCTTCAACATAAGATATCTTGGATGATAATATGGCAGATTTCATGCTTTTCTTCTTGTTGGCTCTCTGGTCTAACTCCTTGATTCTTTGTTGAAGTTGCTTCACATAATTGATGGCTCCATCAAGTATCGATGCCTTGTCTGTCTATTATTTATGTGTATATATGAATATGGGCATTTTAAACCTAATATATCATTAATAATATATATAATTAATAATAAGGATTTCTGGGTCTAGGAAGGCAAAAGACCTACCCCCATGGTATCAAAGCTTAACTCTTACTAATAGAAGCAGGATATTATTGATGAAAGTAAGTAAGGAGAACCCAGAAAGTATGAGTGAAACACTACAAACCTCCACTATTTCCTCCACTATTTCTTCTAAGTCTTCTAAGCTTGTTTGTCTTTCTTTAGCTTTTCTTTTGATCACCTTGCCTCTTTTGTAAAACACACCCTTTCCAACAAAATAGAGAACCTTGTAGAATTTTCCACCCTACTTGAAAATGCACATATCCAAAGTACGAACCCTCCCTTTCTAAATCCTTATATGCTGTATCATAGAACCAACTCCTTGACCAAAGGTATTAGATCTCTGATTTCTAGACAATGCCCTCTACCAAAAGAAGTCATCCAAACTTTCAAGCTTGACCAATAAGGTCTTTCGGCCACTACTACAGAACAATATGTTACCCTTAAAATCACCTAGCCTTTGATAAATACTTGGATGTCAAGGGTATATACATTTCCATTTGAAGCCATTCTTCTAATTTTGGCCATTTAGAGGAGAAAAGGTATTCCTATTACAGCCAGTGTAGTTTTATTAGACACCACTTACAAGTCTTATAGTAATACCTTGATTAGTATATTGTTGACTACTCTAAATGAAGGAAGCGTGATTCTCATCATAGCCCCTAACTTCAACATCAAACTTATGGATCCTACTCTTTCCACCAAACTAAAGGTTCAAATCCAGATATATGAAGCAGAGCAAGACCCTTCAGCCACCATGGTTGTTCTCTATTACTAAATTATTTATAGGATGCAAGATCATTTATTTAATCTCCACTTCCTAACTCAATAAGGGATGCTTTGTCTATGAATGCTGAAAGGCCTAGTGAATCGTCAATAATCTAGATTCTGAGACATCTACATTATGAAGAGCTTGCTAAGTTAATGCTATTAGAATGGATCAATAATTATGAAAAGGAGTTTCATGCTGACCAGAGAGATGTTCACACAACAAAAGCTCCCATTCTGTATAGGCTAAAAGATAGCATTGTTAAGTTATTTTTTAAGAGTCCAGAATCTCAAGATCCAGCCTAGACCTTTGGCAGAATCTTGTTAATTGTACCTACATATGTTCTGTATATAAAGGTCCCTCTTATTGAGTAGTTCACATAAGAAGCTATGTCTATCTATATTTTCTGTATCAATGGTCACTTTATTTGGGATTATGCCCCAGAAATGTGATCCTAGTTGTGATTGTGATTTTTAGGATAACTCTAATGGTGATAATGATTGGTATGATACAAGAAGCATTTTTAAGAACCCTAAATAGCTTAGATCTTCTTGTAGACATGAGCACCTTCCTCGAATGATGATGATAATGACCATGGCCTAAAGCAGCAGGCAGAAGGAAAAGATGGGTAGGACTTCTAAATCATTCTACTAAAAGGAGTACTCTTTTGTAGCCTCGTAAGGTACTAGGCTATAAAGATCTCTTTCCACTTGAGAAACCTAAACCTATGATTCCAACATTCTCACCTACTCAAACTCAGGCTTTGCCCTACATAGCTATGATGAGACCTTATGTGAAAGAGTTTCCTCCTTTGGAATGCAAGACTGGTGAAAGTTCTAAGGTCACCAGCAAACCCTTTATACTAGCAACTAAAGTATACCTTTAAGGAACTCTTAAGCCTATTTCATTTGCAGAAGAAGTTCTTGACTACCAGTCTTAAAATGCTATCATTCAAAACAAAGTTATATACAAGATTGATTCTAAGTTCAACCATCTTATAAGAAAAACATATGCCATATCCTTACAGGTGAATCATATGGATATGCAAGTGAAAAGCCTGTATACTAGGCTCTACAAACAAAAAAAGCTACTAGATATAGATCTTAAGAGATATATTGATGAGAGATATTTTGGGCCTGATTTTACATGAAAAGAAAAAGAAATTTCTGAAATATGAAAATAGTTATAGCAAATAAAGCCGATCTAGCCAAAGACTAATCCAAAACTATTTAAGAATCTTATCCCACTTACCCTACTATGACTAAGCAATTTCTGTCATACATCTCTATGTACTCTAGCTATCCTGTAGAGAGAAATTATAGTAAGATCATTACCCTATTCTTAAAAAGGTTAGGTAAAAAGCTAGTCCAAAAATAATCTCCTTCACCTTCAGAACAACCACCACTTACACAAAAACTTATTCATCCAAAGCCACAAGGATACTAAGTCTCACCATCCTATACTAAATTACTAAAAAAACCTTAGAAAATTTCAACACCTCCTTCTTCACCAGCTAAACAAAAATCACACTCTTCCATTGATAAAGCTAAAGGCCTAATAGATCTAAATCCCTCAAAGGCTATTCCTTTTATTAAAAAGCTTTTTTTAAATAGGTTTATACTGATGAAGATACAAATTTAAATGTTTCAACTAAACTCTCATATAAAAACACAAACTTTGAGGATGACCAACATTTGATTGATATAACTAAAATTGCAATGGTTCAACCACCTCCAAAGCTAGGTGTTGAAGATATTGATGATGACCCAGTAGTTATGAAAGACAATCTAGCCAAACTAAATACTCATAGTCTAGACCATCATTTAGACTATGGTTTACATTTAATGACCTACCTCCACACAATGGAAAGATAGACTTCATGAGTTTGGTGCATGGATTATTTGTAGATGAAAAAATTAAATGTGACTTTGTTAGAAGTACTCTTAGAATTTCTCTCAATAATGACTAAAAACTTGAGGAAATGGTTTCAAAACCTTAGTAAGTACTAGAAGATACAAGTAACACATCTTCTAGTTGTAGCATTATTCCTTGGAATAATTCACAAAGAATTCCTAAGAGATTTCAATCTCATTAACAAAAGAAATAGACAAGATTTTTTTGAAATGAAATGCTACTCATTAGATCAAAAAGATTTACAGAAGCATTTTCAATGAATATCTGAAAAGTATTATATGCTAAATGGTGTAAATGAGTCAATCTTAAGCATATGTTTATTGCTTCAATACCAAATGAACTTTAACCAGACTTACACAAAGCCATTAATGCCCTACAGAGAGATATGCCTCAAATCTCTTGGAAAAAAAATATCAGATGGCTCTAACCACTCTAGATAAACTTTGTGAGTAACAGAAATTATTTAAGTCCATGTTAAAAGGAAATTCAAAGTTACAATTAACCTATAAGAAGCTTTATTTGAAGATTAAGTATCAGGACCATAATTATTGTTCTTGCAAGAAGAAAAACTATTTTCACTAATATGGCGTAAGTCCATTAGTAGAAAGAAAAGAGCTCCCTTGCATTATTTTCAAAAGAAGGATCTTAAAGTTAAAAAATTCAAACAAATGCTTTATTTGTGGGCAAAAAGGGCATTTTTTTCAAAAAAAAAAAGTCCAAATAAGTCCAAGAAAGATATGAAATTGCTCTAATCCTTTGAGACTATTATTTCCCTTAATGATAACCAAGATATTAAGTCTTTCCTTAAAGAACAGCCTGAAATGATGATACCCAATATGTCCTTTCAGCAGCAGAAGAAGACTTGGACTCCAATGAAAGACGATATCCACCACTCTATACTATTGGTTCCCTTTATAGGACAATAAATCCTCATAATTCATATTTCTTTAGACCAATGAATTCTTGCAATCAATCTAGCTCATTATATTGACCTTCCTCAGCTCAATGTAAAAGTTTAAATTCTTCCTAGCAAATATGACAAACCTATCTCAACCATTAGTTTCATTAACATTAGATCTTATAGAAGTGTCATAAAACACTATATCCTTTCTAAAAAAGAATGAGTCCCACATAAAGAGTATTTCACTATGACTAATGGAAAACTTTTCGTGATAGATCTTATTATCAAAAAAGAAAGATTGGTATAATATTTTTCCTTGGACATATTGTTTGGACTAAGCTTTTTGGCAGTAATCTACCTGCCAAGGATATCCTTATTAGTTTTGATGTCTACAAGGAAACAAGAAACTTGTAGATACTTCCTGACATCCTGAGTATTCTTAAGCAAATACACTGACATTCAAGTATTCTTGATATTCATCAAGCTCCTCCGAGCTATGAACAGATTCGAGATTAACTTCTCTAATTTTTCTATGAAAGTCATGATCAATTTTAGCATCCATTTTCCTTATGGAAAAATTAAGAGTTTCTTATTAAACTTTCATTCAAGAAACATGAAGACATCAATCACATAAAAGCATTTCATATTAGAATGAATGTAGAAGATCTTACACTAGCAAGACAAGAATGTGTAGCCTTACTCAAACAAGGGCTTATAAAACTAACAACATCAGACTGAGCATATCAAGCATTTTTTGTTGAGAAAAGATCAAAAAGCCAATAAGGAAAGAAGAAGCTAGTGATTGATTATAAGCCTCTCAATGCTTTCTTGCAAGATGACAAATTTTCTCTTTTAAAGATCAACACTCAACTAGTTCATCTGAAGTAGCCCAAGATATTCTTTAAGTTTGATCTTAAAGTAGGATTTTAGCAATTAGGTATTGACCTAATAGTTTGATACAAGATAGCCTTCCACATCCTTAATGCTCAATATCAATGGACAGTTATGCCCTTTGAGCTTAAGATTGCCCCATTACTATTCCAAAAGCCATGATTCATATCTTTAAGCCTATCATCAATAGTACCCTAGATTACATGGATTACATACTCTTATTCTCATAAATTTAACAGGAACATAAAGATTTATTGGCCCAATTCTACAAAATAACCTAAAATCATGCTCTCAGCCTAAAAAGGTCCTATTAATATAGCCCAGATAGAATTTCTAAGAATGATTATTCAAGATGGTCAGCATTAGCCCAACACATATATTGCTTAGGAACTATTGAACTTTTCAAAATAAATTTTATCCAAAACTCAAATTTAATAATTCTTGAGAATTGTGAACTATTTAGGGACTTTATTCCTCATATGTCTAGTCATACTAGCCAACTGTCCAGGCTATTGAGGAAAAATCTACCTCCTTAGGAAGAAAACTAGACAAAAGCTATCCAGTATCTAAAGCAAATTTATTGGCATCCTTTACCTTTAAGAATCCCTAATAAAGGACAAAAAATTCTCTAAATCGATACAGGTGATGACTATTAAGGAGCAGTACTAATTGAAGAAGAAAATGAAAAAAGACATTACTGTGGTCATGCCAGTAGAGAATTAAAACCTTTTGAAAAATATTATTACATAGCTTATAAAGAAGTCTAGCTGTGAAATGTGGCATAAAGAAGTTCAGCTCATTACACCATCACATCATCAACCTTTTTTCATCCTCAACATCATGCCTAAAAAATTAGTTATAATGAACAAAAGGCTTATTCCTTCTTTGTTTTTCATCATCCCTACCATCTAGACACTCAAGGGAATCTATTTTGTCAACTAAGGTTGTTTATGGAAAACTTCTATTAATTGGCCATCATATGAAAAATTAGTTTTATCTGAATTAAAAGATTTTTTATGTGATACGAATAAATTCTTAGGCACAGATCCTAGCATTAGGTATACATCTCTTAGTCCTATTCCTCATTAACCTATCCTACTTAATGATCCATCTCTATCAATACAATACCAATTTCTAAAATGGCCTGCTAATATTATAACATGGATGGAATCATACTCAACCCATGAAGCTCAGCCATCTCAAAATATAGAATCCCCTTCAAGTCTTCCTCCTCCAGACAATCATGACCCTTATGAGATGGAATCCCAATACTACTAACAATTTTCAAAGACAAAAGACGTTCTTACCCATAGACCACCTGAAGAACAAGAGGATATGGATGAAGATAAACTAGAAAGTCTCTCAGTATGGCTTTTCAGAAAGCAAGAAAAGAGATATCTCAATCTATCTTCTGATCAAGAGAGCATCTACAAACATCTAAGGTGATTGGAGCCTTATCTTTAATCACATGAAGAATCTGATTTTACTTTAATCATTCCTACTTTTATTAGTGTCACCTTTACCTTTGTCAAAAGCAACTTTTACTTTTTAATAAAATTGTCCACTTTAGTCAAATCAACTTCAGCAAAGCTACTTTACTTTCAGTCATGTCTACTTTTACTTTAGAAAAGTGTGTACAAATAACATTTTGTTGTACTATTACTCATGTGTCTTTACTCTCCTCCCTTTGCCTATAAAATGGAGTCTCAGTTGTGTTGTAAGGAAGAACTTATTTGAGAATTAGCTTGAGCAATAAAATTAGTATTTTCCCTATCATGTTTCTCTTCTAAACTCTATCTCCTTTCCTGAAAGCTTGATTCTATAATATCTTACTTCAATCATATTAAGATTCAAGTATGCTTTGCACTTTCCTCTATAAGAAACCTATGCACCAGATAGAATCTAACTGCGATCCATGAGTATGAGCCCATATCATTATGCGTAGAGATTCATAGGTTGAAGTTTCAAGGAATTGAAAATCTTAAAGTAGCCCATTTATGCCTAAGAGTAGTGTTGAGAGGCCTTACTTAGATCAATATTACCCTGAGATATGTAGACATTCGGATCTTTGGGTCTAGGTGTACATAAAACCCTCCCCCATAGGGTAAGTGGGATAGGATTTGTAAATAGTTCTTGATTGTTCTTTGCTATATCTTCTTCTATTTGCTGTAATTCTTTTTTGAGGTTTTGAAATTTTCAAAGGTTTTTCTGGAGGTTTAGTATAGGATGGTGAAGCATGCATGAGACCAAGAGATCCTTGTTATCAAGTATGCACTAGTTACAGTCAATGTTATGAATTGTAGATTGTGTTGACAAATCTTATGATATTTAAAACTTGTTGTGATGACCAATAGGCATTGCTACTAGTGAAAAGAGTTATATGTAGAAGAAGATTTTGAGAGAACTACCTTTCATTGAGCTTGACAATGTTTGAATTTGACCCATTAAGATAGCTATATAAAAAAAACTTGATGTGATGAAGTTCTAATAAACTAAAACTTTGTGCTAATAATATCTTTACAATGACCTATCTATTATATTATATTTCGCTATTGGAACTTGATGCTTGTGATGATGAACTTTCCTAAATTTCACTTTTTGCATGATTGATTTCCTTGTGTTATGCACATATAACTTATTAAAATTTACTGCATCGATCCCATATATATAAGTCATCTCTATCTACTTCACTGAAATCAAATATAAATAATTAAATTATAGAGTAGCCGAGGAAGATGATGATCAAGTATTGGTAATGGAAAGCTTTTTATCAACGGTCGCTAAAATAATCGAAATATAACCAAAAGAAAAAAGGACAAAGCTAGTTGATTAAAAAAAACGACTACTCCCCAAACTGTGTGAGCTACCTGAAGAAGTACTATTATGCACCACTATATGAGCTATTTAGCTAGTGAGAGATGCGTTTGAGCACTAGTTAATATTATTGTTGTAATTTGGACACTAATTAAGATAAATGTGTAAATTAAAATTCCAAGGCTTGTGAAAATTTTAATTAGGTTGCCCAAGTGAAAGTTTTGGATGAGTTGAAATTTAATTGAGTTTGTGGCAGATGAGTTTAATTGTGAAAACCATTTATTATAATTCATGACTTTGTTATATTGACGGAAAAAAAAATAAAATTTTTCAAGTACTATTCTCAAGTGAATTGGGCAAGGAAATTAAAAGCCTTGGTGCAGTGGTGAAGTTGCGGCAATTTGAGCTAGTGAACCTTGGGCATGTAATAGACTATTCTCAAGTAGATTATTTTCTCTGAGCGATGATATTTAAAAATAATTTCAGAAAATCATTTTGATGATGACTGACCTTTTTCAAGCCAGGAATTGTAGCTGAAAGAGCAAGAAATTTCTCAGCCAATTCATGTCTTCGGTTTCTCTCAGCAATAACGTGATCCAATGTCCCAGTTTTGGAGTTCCTACCCTTCCTTGTTCCTCGGTTCCTGCTAATTCTACTCCCAAACTGATTCACCGAATCACGACCAGATTCTTGTTTCGTACAAGCTTTTTGCACAGTACTTGGTACACTTCCAACATCGTAGTCATCAAACGACACAAGATTATTGAATGTGATAGGAGAGAAGGTTATTAAGTCATGAAGGTTCTGCACTGAAGTGCTTGGCTGATGACAGAAAACAGGGAAACTCTGTTGTTGATCACTTTGATGGCAGACAAGTTGTTCATCGTCACCTATTTCCTGCAAGAGCGGACAATATATAACAAAACATCGATTCAATCAAACAAATAAACCCTAGCTAGCTAGCTAGGTGATTGTGAGCTTAATTTAATACCAATTAATATTACCAGATAAGGAAGGCATGTCTCCCAGAAGGAACTCTCCATTGGAGAAAGAGGACTTTCTTTAATTTAGCTTCAAAGTTTCACTTAGGTGAGAGATAAGAGGAACACTGCAAATGATATATTCTTCTTTCCAATAGTCAAGTGACGTACAAATCTCTGGTGGGGAACAAAACCCTAATTCTAGTTTAAGGACTATAATGTTTTGTAATATTGGTATAGCTTTTTTTTTTTTTGGTTTTGGATTCAATGATTACCTTAAATTCACTTACTCAATAAGTGTTTTACATGACACGATAATAAGCATTCAATTTAACCGACCGGCTGTTAAAAGTTTTTCATTTGATATTCAAAGAGTACAAAATTTTAAATTTTTGAAAGGCACATAAAGAATGTTTTGATCATGATGATTGTTTTGAATTTTAAAAAAAAAAAAGATTGATAACTTTTTAATATTGATAAAATTTAATGATAATAATTAAGACACTCATTGACTAAATGGATTTAAGCCACTAACCAACGAATCCAAATTCTCTTTTCTCGTGATCTACCTAACATGAGCCGTTAGAGATAGTCATTCTTTTACCTGAAAAGTCACTTTGCATGTCATTTAATCAAATGAGAAATAAAGAAAGATTTTGGGAATCTATCTATCAATCAATTTTCAATAATAATAAATACATTTGTACTATATTAAGATAATGAATAAGAAAAAAGTGTCCTCGTTAAACATGCAACTTATATTTGTGCCATTGGATCACTACATAACGATCCTATGGATGCTGACTGGGGACACACCGGCCACTCCAGACATTCTGTTTTTTGCTTCTTCTTTTTTTAATTTCCATGGTAAGCAAAGTGGTCGTAGCCCTTTTGAGTTTTCAATGTTTAGTTTTGTCACTTATATGAAAGTTTCACGTCATGCTTTTAGGCTGAAAAGTGAAAAGGATCCGAGAAGAGAAAAGTGGGAATAGTAAGGAGATGGAGATGATAAAAAGATTAAAATATTCTATATGCATCTGAGGATGGGGAATAATTTATAGATAAAGATTGAACAGAAATAAAATAATTAATTAAAATTTGAAAGACAATATGAGAGGACCACGAGAGAGAAATTCATGTGTGTTTACCTAGTGTATAGTAGCATTTCATAAAAATATTAATGGAATATAATTTATGGATTTTGGTTATATTAAGAATAAGAGAGAATGTTGTATAGATAATGGAAGCACACCGAACAGGACCTTGTTTTCGCGTTATATGTAAACAAAAAGCTGATCTGCAATCAATAGATACTAACATTCATTGTAATAATATTGTTGTCATAATATGTTTGTGCCAATTTCAGACCAAAAAAATAATAAGTTTGTGCCATAAATTAAATAACAGAAGGACTTCTCGTCTCTTATTTACTATTAATCAATTTGAGCTAACCTAAATAACTGTTTATGATCCAAAAAAGTGCAAAATACCCTCTAAAACATCCCTTGCAACTACGAGGAAACACACAGAAAAAAATGAGTCAAAGCTGCATGATGGACGTCAAAAAGCCATTAATTAGTATTCTTTTCATAATCATGCTAAATATAAATAATCTTTCCAAGTAATTATGGCTTTAAAAAAATATCTCAAATGTTTTTTTTTTTTGGCTTTCTCATGTTCTTACCTTTCTTATTATTGACGTCCATCTCAAATATGCTTTACATATTACAAACTGCTCGATAATCTGCATCCTCTTAATCCATCATCATTCGTATGTCCTATGAGGAAAAGGATCAACATCTTCTACTTCTTTTTTGTGAACAGAACACTAGTATTGCTCCCCCCGCCCCCGGTTTTCACCCTATTAATTCGTGCAATTTCTTTCACCAATGACCCTATCACAGAGAGAGAGAGAGAGAGAGAGATAAAAGGAGGGTGAGAGAGAAAGAGGGAAAAATAGAGGATCTTGTTCCTTACCTCTAGGAAACTGGGGCCTCCAATGCTTATTTAATTTATTATTATTAATTTAACTTTAGATATATGTCTATCAGTCCAATATTTTTAAAAATACAAGGCCATGGAAAAAAAATCATCCAATATAAAATCCTCAATTCATGTCAAAGCAAAATAATACTAAATCATCAGTTCATGTCAAAGCAAAATAATACTAAGGGTGGATCTACAAAAATTGTGGTGTAAATATTGTCATTTTGTGCATGTCAAGCAAGCTAATCCACACATCTATTTGCTTCTCTAAAACTATGATTGAAAGTAATAATCAAGTTTCTCATGAATAAGTCCCTAGTCCTATTTATAGTGTTTGAGGGAGGATGGTTCTGGTTGTAGTTTTGTTGAATATTGAGTGTAAGAGCTTCAATTGAATCAGATTAAACATTGACTTTTGTGAAGTTTCTATTCTAGCAAAGGTTAAGGCCTTACATTCAGGATACCCATAATTTCTACTGTAGTGCTGGGATAGTAACCAAAGCATATTGAAAAGCTTTAAATCCTATTTTCTTGATCATCATGAATAAGACTTTCACAAGTGGCAACGCCATTGATGTCAAAAAAGCCATTAATGTCTAATTATTGATAATGTCTTGTGTGATGGAGAAAGTGATGTCTCTAATAAGAGGATCCTCTTTAGAGTAGATGAATTTACATCTATCCTTCCAAATATTCCAATATACATGAGAAAAAAAGTCTCTACCAAAGGGTTCTTTTAATGTCCAGGCCTCCTGCCACATTTTTTTTTTTTTGCATTTTTAATCCTACAAGGAAAGAGAAAAGAAATTATTTAGCATAGAGCTTTTGACTAATTTCAACCAATATTTAATATTGAAGATTTTGTTCATTATTGAGATACTTTTGAGTAGCCGCTTCATTTTCTTTTTGATGATTTCATAGGTAACGCTACTACAAAAAAAGACTCTAGAAGACTTAAAAAAAGAACTATTCCTGTAGGGGGAGCCTGTAGGAGCACTTCCCTTAAAAGCACTCCCGAAGGCTCCCCCTATAGGAGTGCATGCAGAGCGCTCTCTTTAACATCCTTAAATTTTAAAATTTGAATTTAAAGTTTTAACATGAGCAAAATGATAAATTTAGATAATTATTGAATTAATCTTGTTTTCAGACTACTAATTAGTTTATTGAACCTTTGAACAAATTTAGAAGTGGACTAGATTGATATTTAGGCCAATAGGGCATCAAGTGAGGCCAAAATTTACTTAGGCCTCACTATACCATTCGTAGTGATGGACACACCATTTGCTTCAACAGATGTGAAAAAATATGATTTAATTAGATACTCACACATGCTAAAAACAAAGGAAGAAAGAAGAGAAAACAAGAAGGACAATGGAGGGAGACCATTTCTCTATTAGGGATTGACTTTTAGACCAATTTGGAGGCATTCTAAGCTAGCAACAGCCTTGGGTGAGTTTTCTATCTACTTTCCTTCCTCCTTATCCGAATTTCTGAGTTTTTAGGTAGGTTTAGACATTGATTTTGTATCTTCTTAGGGCATAACTGAATCCATTGTGTTTTTGGGTCTATGGTAGGTTCATTTAAACTTTTACACTTAGGTTTGATGATAATATAGTGATTTGAAATTTTGAGCTAGGATTTAAATGAACCTTAAGCTTAAATTTGAGTTTTGGAAGCAATGTGGGTGAAAATTTAGTATTATCTAGGTTTATGGGTGTTAGTTAGTGAAGTATGTTAGGAGTATTGGTTTTAATTAAAAAGAAAATTGAGTAGTGTTGGTACCTAAATTTAGGCTAAAAGGATGTTTAATAGAGTTGTAAATTATCAATTAGTGTTTAATTTTGTAAATTAAATATTGATTGGACCCTATTGCGCTAGTGGAGGCTAAGGGAGTTGGTAGTTGGCTCGATAACCTTTTTTTTATGATAAAAGGTTTAGGTAATCAAATTGTCTAATCATTTTACTTACGTGTTAAATAATTATGAGTTTGCAAAAACATATATATATATATATATACTTTATGATTTAATTAACATTTTGCATTGGAATGAATGTTGTTGTGTTTTGAAAAACCTATGTCAAATGGAGCACATTTGAAATATTATTTTTTTAACTATAAATTATATTGTATCCATAAATATTTGTAAAGTCTATTATGAATTTTGATGTCAGTGCATGGTTTAGAAATCCATTATGATTAGTTACGCTTAGGCATATTTGGATTGTTTGAGCATGATCATTATGAGAGGGTGGGAGTTCACCCTAAGGTATTTATTATTTGAAATCGATATGATACACACTAGCATTCTGGAGGCCCTAATGATTAATTATACTTGTTTGAAAGTCTCAATACTATCCTAGCATAGATTGAGCATACAACACTTCAGATGATAGGAAAGGGTAAATTTATGGTCCGAGAATGGGAGAATGTGCCTTTAGCCAAGCTACCTCCTATAATTAGTGAGCTTAAGTCAATCCAATCACATGGACTTAGTCTTGTTAAATTGTTAGCTCACAGATTTAGTTGGAGGAAATAAGGAAGATATAAGGTGGAATGATGATCATGCATTGCTTTGGATGTAATTATATTTATATGTTAGATGTGTATCTAAATAACTTGTTTTACTGACCACTTTACATGCTCATATACTATTCTAGCATACTTGTAGATTGATTAAATTATTTGATTACTGAGACATTGTTCCCACCCCTGTAATTACATTTTTCAAATTAAAGCTTTGATAGGGGACAAAGGGAAAGAGGACACCATCAAGAACTAGAAGTGTTATAGATTGTATAGCTCTCTATTCTTTTGGTTCATGTAACTAAAGAATATATTATATATATATATATCAATGGCAACTTATGACATGCATTATTTTTGTGTCACTTGCATGAGATTTATAATGTTTTGGTGTATTTTGCCCTAGATTATTATATTTGTAATGGATATTGTTATAAAGGCTAAAATACTAGTGCAAGCATCATTAATATGGTGATTGTATATTTATTGTTAACCATTGAGTAGTTGTTTTGAATTATGCTATTACCCTGATGATTAATGTTAAATTCGGTTTTAGATAGTCAATTTGTACTTGAGATGTATGTGTTTGACTATAGATGTTTTATTAGGTGTTTTGTGGTCTATGTAAGTTGGTTTAAGTGATTCTTAGGTTATTGG